AACTCTCCTTATCAATCTTGCACCTTCCGCAATGGGTGGCTCGCGTATACGGACAGGACATGGCTGCGACAGACCTCCCAAATCCACCTTCGCTTTTATAGCCGTCGTCTCTCATCTTGATTACACGAAGTAATTTACTATTACTACTCTAACATATGACTTGCATCTGAAATAATCAAATACATGAAATAGAATGATTAATAGTACATTTCCCTTTTTTTAGGAAATGACCTGTATGTATCTGTATGAAATCAATAAAAGAATCAAGTACTGCAATATCTTTAGTTACATTGATAATATTTATTTATGGTAAAACAGTGGTAAAATATCGCTGTTGCTTTCGTATACATGAAGCGGACATACCTGAGTGGCAGCGATCTAATCTTGTTTACATAAAGTAAACCTGCTCCCGAGCAGGTTTACGCTTACGGATCTGTTGCTATGACAGCAAGTCCCGGATGAGCTTCGGAGAACCGAACGATCCGAGATCACGCGAAATCGTCAACAATCAAATCCAGCTAACTTACTTATCGAGGTACGAAGAACGGACCCCAGTGATACAAATAACACACCTCTGCCACACAGCATCTCAAGGTCTTTAACAAACTTTCCATTTCCTCTTTCAGTGGCCATCAACTTGATAGTACAGCACATCCAAGACATTCTGAACGGCGGACCAAGCAAACGTCACAACGGCTGCACGAACGGCCACAGCACTCCACGGCAGCGGCGGACCTCCGAGTCAAGCAGTCGGCCTCACTGACCCCGTCACACCTCTCTTCACAGAAGGGAGAGGGGTGTGGGGTGTTGTAAATAATGCCTGTGGGCATCACTGTATTTAAAAGAGGAGAAGAAGAAGAAATGCAAAGAGAATTGAAATGCCTTTTATTATATCATGACTACTCTTATGTTATTGGTTATTTCATTGTAACTTTCCATCGGATTTGATTTTTATTTTGTCATGAGGGTAAAGATGAGCTCTTGTTGCGATGAGACCATTGGTTAAATATTGATCCCATGCATTTCACCCCTGCCTCTTTT